GTATAAAGTTAATAGTAACTTTCAAAAATTAAAAATACCCTTAATAAAAAAAAAAAATAATAATAAAATATTAAATACCATTTACGCCTCCATCTTTATCAGAATAAGAATGACTGAATGTTTTAAGTTCTTTACCATCATCCACATCCGCATCTTTTTTAACATGTACTAAAATGGCGTTATTGATTCTTCGATTTAATAATGAAAGCCAAATCAATATTAAAAATTGCAATATTGTCGTTAGTGAAAATGTAACTATCGTTCCGTATCTTGTGTAAATTATACTAATAAAAACTGGACCCATAACCCTAGCCAAACAACCGATTCCAACCATTACACCCATCCATGTTCCCTAAAACGTTTTTCAAATCATTAATAAATTTGTAAATGATGATGATCATTATTATTATGAACCAGTAGAATTTTTTTTACCTGAGGCCTAGGTCCTAAAACTTTTGAAATAAGTGATTGTATTAATGCCAGACCTGTCGGATAACCCATTGAAGTAAGTGCATATGAAATAATAAATTGAGTCAAAGTTAAGGCAGGAGTGTAGGCACACCATTCTTGGCTAGGAGGACAACCCAAACTTTCAGTCTTATTAATGAAATCATTAGTTGTGATATTGTCTGATAAGGCATCTAAATATTCAAAAAAAAGAAATGTGATGATTAGCTAAAAGTCGATAAGTTCTTTAAGGCAAAAAGTAATAAAATTGTATTATTAATAATTACTTTCGACACTGGCAATAGGAGGTGTATGTGGTCCCCAAGGAATTAAAAATATCGAACCAACTGCCATAAATGCAAATCCACCCCATATCAATACAAGGCTTTCGTTAAACCTAAAACCAAAAAGTCACTAAATAGTTTTTTAAATGTAAATTTTTTTTTTATGCACTGATCAATTATTGAAAACTTACTTTTTTGTTAATGGTGACATTGCAAAAAATGCAAGGCAAGCAACTAAAGCTCCACTGACCATTAATATTCCTATATAAAATAATGAATCTTGCTTAGACCAACCAAACTGATCCATTGTTAAAGGAGCAGCTAATCTGAGAATCGAATAAATTGAAAAATTAATTTTAAAAAATTATAAAATTGAATAAAGAAAGAATAATACATACGTTTCTAAAAGTACAAAGTGAAAATTTAATAGAAAAAAGGCAACTATAAGGGTGATGGCAGAATAGTAGTCAGTTTTTTTTCCTTTCCATGTAGCTTTTTCTAAAATGAACAAATCAATTAATTAAAAAACAAAAGTTAATGTGAATGCTTAAAATTTTTTTTAAACTTTACAAAGTAACTTACCAGACTCGGCATTTTGCATTAGCATAGCTTCTTTTGCAGCAATTTTTTTCGGTTTGAATATTAGTGGAGAAAACAGAAAAATATTTATAATACCTAGAAAAACATTTAACCAACCTGCTGCTGTGTACATGTTAAAAGGTATGACATTAAAAATATAATAATTGGCTTTGTCTCCAAGCGGAGATAAACCAGCTTGTATTCCTACGAGAAAAAAAAATTAAAATAATTTTTAAATGTTGTTCATTGTTTGTATAGTTATTCAAAGTTAGAAAATCATTATTTACCAGGGCCTATAATAAAACCTAAAACTTGAAAAAAAGCAATCATCGACACTGATTTTGTCCTTTCGCTAAGTGTTGTAGCGGCAGATATGTAAGAACGACAAACTGCCATATTAGATGAACTTATTCCTGTTAAAAATCTTGTTAGGAACATCCAGTACTTCCTGTGACTAGTATTAAGTTCAAGCAATGAGTACCAAGCACTTGAAAAAGTAAATATTAAAATACAAAGCTGTAATGGGACAAGAATGCTTTTACTTTTATTCGACCACCATCCTATTAAAGGTGCAAAAATCATTTGACCAAATGGGTGCCCAGCAACAATAATACCCATAAATTCTTTTCCAGCTGAGGGATCTAACTGAAAATAAAAAAAAAAATTTATTTTACTTGTTAAAGTTTAATATTAAAATTATTCCACATTTTGTTTTTCTCTTATGTTAAGTAATTTCAAAAGTATTAAAAATTTCCATGAGTTCCGTTAATAAGTTTACGTGTAAACTAAGTGACGATGTATTTCTTGTAAACATGAATAAACTATTTTAAAAAAAAAAAAAAAAAAAAAAAGATGATTTAAATAAAAATTTTTTTATTTACTTTGTCTAAATAAGGCCAAACTCCAGTTATAACAGTACTGAATCCCAAACCCATTAAAAAAGTTGAAAAATACATAACGTATATAGATCTCCATCTTTCTTTTTTTTCGTTATCCTTTTCTAAATCTTTTATTAAACCACTATTTTCTTGAACCCTATAAATTAAAATTTTACGGATTAGAATTTTTTTGAAAACTTTACGGAATGAAAAAAAAAAAATAATAAAAAATTAACTCACATAATTGAAGCGTCGGTTTTAGTTTCTAAGTAAAAAAAATATAATTAATTTAAAAATTTTATTGAAACAAAAACGTATCACATAAAAATGTTAAGTTAAGCAGCGTCATCACTTTTTATTTTTTTTACCTCAAATAAATAAATTTTAATTGCTTCGAATATTAATAACGAAAAAATTAAAATTCACTAAACAAATCAAGAGCGAAGGCCGATACAGAGTGAAAACATTAATAATAACGTGTTCAAAGTACTTGGAAACCTAAAATTCAAAGATAACAGATAAGCTTTGTCAGTTAAGTCTATGCGTAAGGCCTCAACTGCTTAAACACTATTGAAATACATTTATTTTTTTTTTTTTATTTTAATAAAAACCTAAAACAACTTAATAACACTTTTGAAAATTTATAAAAATAATTTATTCGAAAATATACCTGAATTAAAAAAAAAAAAAAAATTATTTTCATACAAAAAATTTATTTTTAACTTCTTACAAATAAAAACATTTTTGTAGTGAATGCAACCGGAAGTAATAAATTTTATTCAACACAATAGTTGTTAAAAAAAAAAAAAACCCACAGGTACCAATTTCAATACATAAATGACAAGTAATAGTTTTAAAAAATTAATAAGTAAATTATTTTAATAAAAAAAAACCGTACGTGAGAAATAGGATTTGAAGATGGATAATAAATACTTAAAAAAAAAAAAGATGAACGAAATATTTAATAAGGAACGAAAAAAAAAAAATAGAGGAAAATTATTAAAATAATAGAAAACATAAAACTTGATGAGAAATGAAGATTGTGATTTTTTGGGAAATGAGAAAATTAAATATTTAGGAATGAAAAAAAAAAAAAAAAAAAAAAAAACGAAAAAAGGCAAAGGTTAATAAAATCAAAATAGGATAATGATGTTAAAAAAAAAAAAAAATTAGGAGGATGATCTGATGACTTTATTACTTAATCGTGGCATTTATATGTATTTAATAAAAAAATTATCGGTTTCAAATTTAAAATAATTAAAAAATAAATTTAAAATAATTCTGTTATTTTTTATTATTATTAACCGGACATCGAAATTGTAAAAAAAAAAAAAACGTATTTTTTCCACCTGAGGCAAAGGCTTAGATAATAATTAAAATATATCGACACGTAGAGTCGTAACGTAAGGTTGCACTCGATCAAATGCATTTCATAATTTTTGCATAAAACTGCAGTTTCATTGCTACAGATCAAACTTCAAAAAGTTTCAAAAACCAATTTTGTATCATTTGAATCACGACACAAAGTTAAAATGAAAAACCTACTCGAGTTGAATAAGTAGGTGTAAGAATGTATTAAATGAGATGGACAGAAAAAAATGAAGTTCTGCCTTTGGTTAAACATATTTTTTTGCCTTAAAGTTATCAAAAACAGCTTGATGCATTGTAATTCACGAAAGTGTGAAACAGGAAAATAAATGATTAAGTCACAATGATAAAAAATGCACAAGATAAAAAACCCAACATTGGTAAAAAATAATAATTTTCAAATATTTATTAAAAATTTATAGAATAAAATCATATTTTTTTTGATTAAGACCTTGGTCTTTCCTTCTTTTCCTTGTACAAAGCAAGTAAGGACACATTTGCCACTTTAACTACTTTAAATCTTACTCCTGC